AATGTGTGAAGAATTACTAAGATATGGGCAGCTACAAGATGAAATCAACGAAGTCTCACGCTTACCAATTTGCAGTGAGCATAAGATCACTTCATATTCGCGTTGTTTGGGTCTTCACGCACGAATCCTTCATGTTATTTTCACTTTTAGGACTCACTCGCCCATTTCTCCGCAGTCGAGTATTCTGTAGCATATTTCCTTTCCATTTTTGGCTCCACAAAGGTATGTTTGGATCAAGTTTGAAGTGAAAAAACCATCACGCTTCAAGGGACGGGACGCAATTTTGAATCTGTCCAAGTAGTTTTGGCATATTTTCGCCTACACGCTCACCAGCAGATTCTGTTAATCGGTAGCCAAGAGGCAGAATACTTAGTTTTAGAAGCGCAACTTCTCTCCATCTCCAAAGAGCTTCGCCATTCAGTTGGAGCTGAAACAGGGGATTGACTCACAAAATCGACAAACGTAGGAACTGTATTGATCAGCAGGGAATAGATCGGGGTCTTTTAATGCAATCGTAAGAATCTGGAACTCTATCTATCATAGTTAACTTAGAAAGCTTTTTTCATTAAAATGCCTTCAAGTACGTTTTTAATCAAACAGTATGAAACAAAATTTCCAACTAATAGCATTTGTTACTATGGATTGGTGTGTACTTGGAATATTTCAATATTTTCACGCGATAGACAGATTTATTTTGTGCTTTTTCGATTTAATATGTCGCTAGCGTGTGGATTTTAGCATTCATAAGAATATTTTTTTTCTTCTGCGCTATTTTGATTTTCAAGTTTTATTCTTGCCTGGGCGTGTGCTTATAGCATGTGCCTAAATGTCCCGTTCCCACCCTGCCGCATTGGATATAGTCGGTTTTGTTTTGGTTTGTTTTAATTGTTTTGTTTTTTTGTCTTCATTTGCTTATATCCTCTCATAACCTGGTGCTCATTAAGCTTGATTCCTAGAAAAAGCGACATTAATAAAAGATTTAATTAATCTACTTCAAAAGAATAGTAAATATATCTTCAAACTTCCAGCGCTGATTGATTAACCGACTAAATTTGAAATTTAACAATAATGTAATTAGAACAGCATTTTTGCACGTTGTAACCTGTAGCCCCAGGGCTCTGATTGAGTGATTACTTTAAAAAAATATTGATAGAATAGAAATTGTTTTCCCGTGTCAGTTTGGGACAGATTAAACATTTCATGAAATAGAATTAAATATACTGCCTAAAACAAATTGGACGCTTTTTGCTTTAAACGAAGTTTACTGCTCGAGGTGTTATTATTCTACAATTTTAAAGCATTCTGCGCTGCCTAAAGCAGATTCCCTTCAGCGAGATATGATAGAAGCATGGATAATAAAGCAAAGGTCAGGAAAATTACTTAAACAACCCTCCTCTTGAAGTGATTAAAGGGACTAGTAACAAACAGGAGCTGAAGGATGCAAATGAAAACAAGATCGGCGAATCGAATGAACGAATGAATGAATGAATGAGTTTCTTTAACTCGGATGAAAATGAGGCTTCTTACGCGAGGAAAAATATATGAATATAAGTACAGAGTTTAAAAATAATATAAGCCTAAATATAAATGATGATATAAAATTAAAAATTACTTAGATTTCTCATCTCATTCCTAAAAGGGCCAAATTCTGCCATTAATCTAAGCTTATCAGGTAATGCATTCCAAGCCTTAGCAGCAATGTAAGAAGTCGATTTTTAAAAGCTGTATGTTGTGGTCTTAGCTACAGCCGGTAAAACAAATTTGTTTTTGGCCCTAAGATTTTTCCTATTTTCTCTTACTTGAAATAAAGATTGAATAAAATGAGGCATATTGTTATAGAGGGCTTTAAAAATTATTAAAAGCATATCTTGTTTCAGTTCGCATGGTAGACTGTTCCACAATGTGGCGCCATTGTAACTAAAGCTTTTTCGGTAATAATTAGTTCGCGGTAATGGAACATTTAGCTTATTTTCAGATTCCCTGAGGTCATAAGCAGATTTACGCCACTTTTAAAACTTTTAAAACAGATACTCTGGAGCAAGCCCGTGCAGATATCTAAAAATCAAGGTGGCTTTTTCTATCATGGTGGCTTTATGGTCAGAGTCTTAGGAAAGGTTCAGTGTGGTCTTACCCTAAAGTCTTCTACGCCATTTTTTCTTGTTGATTCGAGAGAAAGTTTACATAGGACATTCCTTTAAAAAGAAAGATCAATACATATATAAGCAAACGTTAATTATTATTTTTGCAACTTTTAAACAATGACAATAAATCATGTTTTACGATTTAAAAATCATTGTTTCTTGTTCTATAGATCTAAGAAATGAAATTGATCAGAATTTTCGGGAATTTTAGAGAGTTTTTGGAGAATTTTAGACATTTCTATAAGAATTTTAGAGCTTTTGTTTAGGAAATTCCGTGGAGAATTTGAGAAAAATTTTCGGGAACTACGTTGCTAAGCGTAGTTCCCAACATATGAAAACCTTTACCTGTTAGAAAGAAATCTGTAAAAGCAAGTAAAAAAATGCCCTTTAAAACCATCATTTTAACATCAATATCTAAGCCCAGGGTAAAGTACGAATTCAATCGAACTCAATGTTAACTCAATCTGTTAGAACTTTTAACCGTCACAAGTTGTCGCTATGCCATTACGAGCCTTGTGCATGTTTTTTATGATGATTGTTGCTTGTTGCTTTCAATAAAACGCATTGACCTTGCAACGTATCGTTGGTTTTTGGCCTTATCCAGTCCTGGGAATGTAATTTGTTTTGTATTTATTTTTCAAACCAGAGCATACTCACTAGCCAAGAAAGAGAAGCTAGTGTTGTGTTCCGGATCTTTAGCGGAGAAAATGCTTCAGTTATAGTACCACCAAGTGTTATATTAAGGGATATTGCAGGACATGACAAACAAGTCCTCCTGAGGCTTGAAAACAAACAAATAAAGACAACTTTGAAGTGTCAGTTAAAATCAAGCATGGAGATTTTTTTGGAAAAATGTTTTTTTTCTCGAATAATTACCCGTCATAATGCTCCGTTGATACGATTCGACGTAGGTTGAAGATTTGGATGTGGACGATTAGATAGTCAACGTTTCGCTGGTATCGTTAACGATCTGATGCGCGCACGTTGTCTAAGAACACGTTCTTAGACAATGAGCACGAAGTTACGAAAGATCATTGGACCATACGATGAAATCGTATAAACGAGGACGTTCTTTTTAACGCCCTCGTTGTACTGGATTTTAAGGTTAACGTGGTCGTCCTTTTGAACGGGCTTGTTATACTCGATCTCGTGTAGAACGCGCTCGTTCTTTTTGACGTGGTCGTTATACTCGATTTCATGTAGAACGCGCTCGATCTTTTTAACGTCCTCGTTGCACTCGATTTCGTGTGCCGTGCCCAGATGGCGGCATTGATCCCATTTTTGATCAGGGGCTTTTGGGCTCGTTTCCCAGAAACCTTGAATGATCCCGTTTTTCTTTGTTTCTGCCGGCAGAAATTAAAATCTGCGCCGGTGATAACATCGTTCTACGCTATTATACAGGCACTGTGGGTACGTAGTGTAAGAATAATGTAATGGTGTGTAGCGCATATTTTTAGGTCATCTGACACTGCGAGTTATCCCTCCAATTCGTGAGGCTATTAATGCCATTGCATCTGCCACCTATTTATATAGACAGCGTTGGAGATATGTTTTTCGCCGAGCATTACAACAAGGAATTGGAAAAGCAACAACCAAGGAATTATATGCAAAATATTTATTCTCATTTATATGGTTTTTCATGACAATGTTAATAAACTAAGCAGATTTACTGCACGAAATGGTGACGCAATGCTAGGTTAAGCTTCCCTCGCGTGTAATGTCACAATAGTCGCAATTGTATTGAAAAAACCTTGTTACATTAACTTATAGTTTTCTGAACTAGTGATAGTAAGCTTAGTGCAATTTAGGAAGCTTTGCATCAACCAGAAAAAAATTTATTCCCACAGTAGCTTTGTTTCATATATGAATTGTAAAATACGTGCTCAGATCTTTATAGACAATTTTTCCTTAATTTCGTTTAACAGATTTCAAACTAGAAATTTTCTGCTGTATTTGTATTCTTCTTTCCTAAAAGTTCCAAGCCAATGTCTCCTAATAGAATATCATTTCAATGTAGACTATTGAAATAAAAAAGGGAATAATTAAAAAAATAATGCAACTGTCAATAGATTAAAAAAAACCATCAAAATTAAACAAAAAGATTATTGGAATAGTCAAGTACAAAACTTCTCTGTGATAGAGTATTTCAGTTCTAAGTTATAACCTAAATGCATATGACAGTGAAAACACCCACGAATTCTTATATTTCTTGCATAAAGACTCACACTGTCATATGTAAATATGTATCTCGGCATTATGAAAGAGAAATTCTCTATACCAGTGCCCAAAATTTGATTCCTAAGTTTCAAAGTGGTATATCTTGTTTGAATTATAACACTTGAGTATAAGGTTTTGTAGTGCTTGTTACGTGTACCATCAATTTGTTCCAATGCCTCGTGTTATGATGAGAAAAAAAAAAGACAGTCTCTCTCTTTCTATAAGGTAAGGAAAAGTCATTTGAAATTTTTTACTAGTAAATATATAATTAAAGGAATTTGACAACTCTTTGCATAACGTAATGAAAAACGAAAGAGGGATCAGTCATCGTTGACAGAGCATGAAGGGGGGAGACTATGGAAAATTGACTTTCCCTAAGGGAGGGGGGGGGAATCATTAGAATACGACAGAGCCTAAGGAGAGGTTACAAAAATTTTAATATGATACCCCCCAACCCCTCTCAAGTGATAGATAATGACCAGGGCCCAGTTGTTTGAAGGCCGATTAGCGCCAACCCAGGTTTCATTTTTAATCCAGGTTTCTATGTTTCTCTGTCAAAAAGCCATTTCGGGATGATTTTTCCAATTTTTTTAGGGTATTCAATTATCAAATTGTAAACAAATGGAATTAAACTAAAGTGTTTTTTTAAGCTTTCAGATCTGAAATCAATTTTCACACTAATCCTTGGTTATCTTAACCCACCTTTGAACAACCTGGCACTGTCCATTACAAGATTAGATATATGACAACATTCGTTCGTGATAGTGTAGTAATTTCCTCCTGCTTACTGATCACCAGCTCAGTTACAAGCAGAAAACGTTCCCGAAATTGCATTTTCTTGATTTCATCAGGGCATCTAATCTGTATCCATGCCCTTCTTATAACGTTGTGATTTCATAGCATTGATACTCTTTTGCATTTTATTTCGATGCCCAATCAAGCTGATACCCATTCCTCTCAGTTGTTTGTCATTCAGTTCAGTGACTTTGTTCATATCATTAATTCTTGCTTCTCGGAATAATTCAGAATACTTATCCATGTTGATGTGTTTTAGCCATTCGTCCACCGACTGGAATTCTGGGGTATGGCTTGCTTTAGGACTAGAATAATGTATGAATAAATTAATAGGGATTTTTTAAGGGAGCGTATTCAACCTGGGACGAAAGATAACTTGACTTTCGCTTTTTCCTGAGCTTTTTCACTCAATTACATTTTTGTTACGTTGGGTCTTTTGAGCGGATTTTCATGTGCTTTTGGTGTGGAATGTCACAGCTTGCGCGCTTATCGCATTTTTTCAGCCCTTTTTCAACGCTCTCTGGGTCCGCCACCAAAATCAGTCAAGTTACCTTGGATGCTTTCAAATGCACCTCGTCAACTGCTTTGTAGTCCACTAAATACAATCCAAGGGTGCACAATTTGGAAGAAATTTATGGTCTTCCGAATTTGATAAAGGTAGATGGAGAAAAGTTGCACACGTGGTTTCGTAGATGATACAATAACAGAGAAGACGAAAAATCATGCAAATAAGAGGAAGAGAGCTTTATCACCGATCCTTGGTCACCTTTCTTTGACGAAAATAACTCATTCTGTTGTAATACGATGGAAACTTACCTCTCTGAGAAAGAGGATGAATCACCACTTAGAAATTCCGGGGATCGAATAAGTTCATCCAGGCGATTGACAATTTCAGAAAAATTGGGCCGTTGGGTTTTATCTTTATGCCAGCATTCCATCATTAAATTATGGACGATTTTCGGACATCCCTGCACAAACAGATAAATTATTTTAGGATTAGTTCTTAGTGGAAAGGATCTTAACTGTTTGAAATATTTCAAAACCCACAAAAAAGGTTTCACCTCAACTTTTGATATGATTGTGTTTTCAATTACCTTCGGAACTGGTCTATATGGGAAGGGGGAGGGCGGAGGAATTTTTTTTAGGGGGGGAACGGATGATTTTCAGGAGTGCGGGTGGAGAATCAGCTGTCTCTAACAGAGTTTAAGGGGGGGGGGACTAAATAGAACTGGCTTCCAATGCGAGGCTTCATCAGAGTACTACAGAGCCTTATAGGGGGATCAGGTAAATATTATTTTGACGCAACCAAAATCCTTCGACCCCGAACCAGTCCATTACGACAGCAAAGCTGAAGTGTTACATGTTAACATTTAAATAATTCCTTCCCATCTTCACTCGATTTCTTTATTTTTAAGTCCTTGTAATTGCGTGCTGCTACTTTTTTTATTGTTTTGGCTTGCTGTGGTGTTTTAGTGATTCTTATGATGGTAGTAGTTGGATTTAAATGACACTCTAATATCACTCGAAAGCGATAACATGTCCAGTTTAAGAACAAGACGTCAACAACAGAAATTCACGTGAGTGAATCAGATAGGATATACACCAAATGCAACTAAAAGGTTGGTATTATGGTAACGACAAAAATCTTATGAAATTTACTTTGTTTTTACTGTAAAGAAAAGTCATATTCAGTAGTCACATGTTTGTTATTGCAAGATGTACCTGTGGAGCTGGTAATCTGTATCCAGTTTCCACTCGCTTGATAACCTTGGAAAAAATTATAAGAAGTTTTAGTTAATGATATTTACTTTACAAAGTCACAATGTAGTACATAAGTGTTATTGACCAAGCGTGTGGTGTAGATGGCTCGATATTGGCCAAGTTCTTTTTTTGCGTTTTTATGGACCCGGACGAAGTTGAGGTCCATAAAAACCCATACAAAGAACGAGGCTAATGTCCAGCCATCTTGATCGAACAAACCTGATCAATAGAAGATTTAATATAGAACACAAAGATTTCGCATCGTTAAGAATCAAGAATGACTTGTTCATTTCAAGAGCCTAGAAAGAAAGACAACTGTGTTTGTAGTACAGTAAACTCACAAAGTCGTTTATGTTTTCTTTGTTTTGACTTTCCTGTGCCGCTTTTTGCGACTCCGTCCCCGACGCTGTTCAAAAATTACGATCTTTGTAAGTTGAAGTTCTCGTCAATGAGAACTTTCCGCTGTTATCAACCGATATCGATTGTCTCTCTTTTAGGTCTTTTGTACATAGTTCATGAAAACATTCGTTATTAAGCGGGATGACTTACATCGAAATTGTCCCAATTCCAGTAAGGTCTGTCACAGTATGACATGATCTCCCACATTAAGATGCCGAAGCTCCAAACATCACTGGCTGAACTGAAGGTCCGATGCTGAAGTGCCTCTGGGGCTGTCCAACGAACTGGAATCTTGCCCCCCTTAAGAATGATTGAAACAAAGACATGTACATATTTTAGAAGGGTGCAGGTCATGTGTCTTCGCAAAAACTCTATACCTTCACTTTGTACTCGCCTCTACATAAGATTAAGGTACATCAGATTAACAGGAGACCTGATCATCGGGAATAAAGTGGAACCCTACCTTTCGAGTCACTTTCTTTCACATCACACCTAGCTTTCAGATGAACTTTCGGAACATAGTCAAATAATGGCGGCTGCGAAATCTCGAATGGATCGGTCCAAATACAAACACTTCTGTCTCTCGTAACGGATTGGAATTTGGCAGGTTGGGTGAGAAAGTCACAATGTACCAGGAAATGAAAACAATGAAATAAAAAATTTGATTTCAGAGGCACTTTAAGTCTTAAATCTGAGGAAGTATTTCACTTCGACCGCCCGCCTCCCGGTTAGCTCAATGGATAGAGCGCTGGGCTGTTGTGCGGGAGGTCGAGGGTTCGAGCCCCGGCCGGACCAACAATCAGGGTCTTAAAATAATTGAGAAGAATATGCTACCTTTCTATAACATCAAGAAATGGTTAGATATTCTAGTCTTCTCGGATAGGGACGAATAAATGGAGGTCTCGTCTCCTGCAGGGTTAGGGGCAGGTGACGTTAATTTCTCATCACACGAGATTACTGTGTGATGGATGTCCTCCCCTGGGGAGGGATGGGTGGGTAACATGACCCCCGTTGATACCAGTGTTTACTACACTGAAGGGGTCATCCTGTATAAATATAGATGTCTACTCTACTCTACTCTTCAAAAGAAAGCAAACAAAGAAGAGCGTGGAATAGTGTCAGCTTCAGTGGGTGGCATGAATTACACATAAGAAAGGAAAGACACGCGACACTTATCATAAACGTTAGCGTTGAACTTAACATAATTGTCGATTTAAGTGAAAAATTACTTGTGTCGTGTATTCAGCTTGCGCTTCATCGTCGTCAGCCAGTTCTCTTGAAAGGCCAAAATCTGATACTTTACACAACATGTTTTCACCCACAAGAATATTGCGAGCAGCTAGATCCTAAGTTAAGACAAACATAATTACAAGTTTTTAATACTTAATCGGTTTTCCGGTATAACAGCAAAATTCAAAACATATCAATGCAGAATAACCCCAAATGCGTGTAAATCTTGAAGAGTAACACCCTTCTTTACGTAACTTCGCCACTTTTATATGAAGGTTATCCCCCTGAAACTGAAGCTAACTAAGAATCTTGGGAAGCATGAAGAAGGCTGATCTCACACTTCTGTGGTGCGCGTTTTCTCCTGCAACTGATGTCTCTTAGTGATCTTCTTTGACACGAAAGTTTCAGTCACCTGGTTTTATGTTTTTCCTCCCTCTAAAGAAATTAACTGATTCCAAACTACAAGCCCAACTGGAAACAGTAGACGAACAACCATGTATTTTTTTGTGCCAATGCTAAGATCCACAGGTGTAAAAGTAAATTTTAATTATATTAACGAATGATACGATGAAATTAATATATCACGATAAATAAATACCCGATGAATGAAGTTTAATTCTGACAGGTACTTCATTCCGTGAGCCACACCTCTGGCCATTCCAACCAACTGAAGGCTCGTCAGCTGACCATTTCGGTCCTACGAGGAAATCAGAATATCCGTCACCGTTTAACTCTTAAACTCCTAAGATGACTGGAATCTAAATTCTCCTTACAAACTCACTGCGGAATCAAACATAAAGGTAATGAGAATAAAGAAAGTATCACGAACTAAAGAAGCTCTTGATTGTTTAATAAATATTCCTTGTCTGTACCATAGGAAAAGTAAAAGGAGCAGTATGGAGAACATGTATTCAGATGTGAGGAGGTAAAGGGTTTAGATAACGCGCATGATCGACAATTAAGCAATTTAGCAGCAGGATGTTATTTAGGAAGTCTCTTGATGAATTTTATTTTTTATAAGGTAGTGACTGTAGGTTAGCGTTAACCAAAGTCTTATTTTATCCTATTTTCGTTTTTATTCTGTTCATATTTTTATCATTTAAACAGGAACCCTTTGATAACAGTACTTATGTACTGAGGGGCTATCTTGTATAAATATTTTTTATTATTACTATTATTATTATTATCATTATTATTATTATCAGTACTACTATTATTACTTTTAGAACACTACAATTACAGTCAAAAGGTGTTTATGACACAAAATGACCAGTTACAAGGGCAAGCCACCCAACCAATACTTTTTGTTCTGTATTTTGATTAAGTTTGAGTTGTTGTTATTAGCTGTTGTTGTTTTTTTTTCTTTACGGGAGAAAATTCTTAAATCCTCGCTAGACGAGGTCAAATACCAACTCCTTGTTGTTATCTATTGCTAACGAAACGTCACTAAGCGTAAAGAAAACTAGATGTAACTAAGAAACCTTTAAAAAGTGGTCCAATGATCCACTTTCCAGGAATTCTGTTAGAATCATCATTGGTCTACCTAAAAGCATAGAAATGAACTCAACTTTAAAATCTCGTATTATTATAAATAACTATGTGTCTTCGGTTTTAACGCAGACACAAAGTAGCTTCATGATTTCACTGTCGAGTCTTCATATTATTCAGTTAACGTTCTCCCCTCACTTTGTGTCACCACTCCAATGAGGCGGATAACATTTGGATGATCAAACTGGCCCATAAGGGACGCCTCGGAAAGAAAATCTTTTTGATTTTTCTCACTGGAACCAGGCTGTAATGGAGAGAAAGGAAAATCGTTTCAGAAAAATAGTGCATTTATTACAGCGTCAGGACGTTTTTAACGATATTGGATGTATGAATCTCGTCATCTATATGGGATTAAGTATCGTATTTAAGAGGTCTAAATTGGAAGTGCAAAACTACGCGTATCCGCGTATTTGTTGAGTTAGTCTGACTGAGTGATTTAAGTTACAATGTACAGCATAAATCTTATCGAAGCAACGCATGACGGAACTAACCCTCAAGACTTTGACAGCAACCACCCCTTTGCCTTCACGTGATTTTAATGTTCCTTTGTAGACATCCGCAAACTCCCCTAAAGAGCAAAACAGTAATTGAAAGCAAATACATATGTGACAAATATATTTATATACATAACAGTTGTGCAAAGGCTAAAGATGATCACCTGTAGGTATCAACATATTTACCTGTTCCGATAACTCCTTCGAGTTTGATGTCATTTCTTTTTCGTTCAGTCGCGAATGATATCAGAAGTTCTTGCAAGTCGATATAGTCGTTAGGGTCGATATAGGATCTCTGGTCTCGGGGATTCGTGGTTTGAAGTTCGCTTCCTAATGACGGAGAGTTTTAGCATCTCGATTACAATATTTAATTTAAGAAAGCAGTAGTATCTGTGCATAAATGACAGACAATGCATATAATAGCGCTTTATACTAATGACGTCATGAAATTTTAGACCCCCCGCGTGACTCAGACAAACAAACTCCACTTCTTTGAGAGCTACAAGGGAAATGGCGAGTAGTTCGCTTATTCCCTTACAGTTCTGACCGAAGAGGACGGCGTTCCTGGCTCCAAATTTGAAAGAGAACCGGAAGAATACACTGTAGACCAGCTAAAACGGTGGTTAAAATGTAGGGGCTTAAAATTAAGCGGTAAACGAGAAGAACTTGTACAGACTGTGTGAGATGCGGGAATTATCACACCCTTGATCCGGCAATCGATCATGGAAAATGGTTTGCTGCCAAAGTTTTTCAAGAAAATTCTGATGTAAACAATGTAAAAAGGGGGTTGACAGGCCTACACGACTCCCCAGCGCGTGTTTAGAATAGCCTATTCAAAGTTTGGCTCTCACGAGCATGTTTTTGAGCGATCGCCCTCTTTTGTAAGATACGAGCGGCGGATTTTTGTATATTTCGCTCAATACTGATTGTGTTTCTATTAAATGCCAGTTCATGTAGTTTATGTAGTTAATGTTCAGGCAGTTGTCATTGAATAATTTCTGTTTCTTTGACGCTGAATTTTCTCTTTCTTTCGGTGCTTTCCTCTAAGGAGCATGTGCTCAACTTACTTGCGCTGGTCTTAGATTTGCCTTTAGTGGATCGGGAAATTCGGCTGTTGGACCTTTTTCGCCGGGCCAGTGAAGAGCACAAATATAACTTAAGTGTTTCTTGTTATGTTTTTCTCCGTAAAAAACTCATGCGAACAAGCCACCAGCCAACGCTTGCACTTTGCCATGTCTCGCGGAGGTTTTGGGAAAGGAATGAATACTTTCTTCCCTACTTCCTTTCACTCTTTGAGTGATTTTGGCCATTTATCTGCATATCTTGAGTCTGTCTTACACTCACCCCAACAACAGTGTTTGGTACCAACCATGCCCCTTCCTTTCAGAACGCCAAGTCATTTTTTGACGAAATTTTCCGTCGTTTTGTTTTAATTTTACAGCTCTCGCTCATACATTTCCTTAAGCTGGTCGCAATGTTTGTCTGAGTCTGTGCGGGGGGTCTCATAGGTTATCACGTAACAAAATCTATTTTTAGTAATAGTATAAAGCGCTATTGATCACAGAAGACGTTAAAATGTGGCAAATGGACCAGGGGCTTTACTCGACTGTGCCTCGTGTGCCACATCTTCGTTCTTACCACATTTTTACGTCATCTGTGAACTATAACTAAATAGACGTAAAGCAACATGGAATCTATTTGTACAGTGGGTAACGTAGCTAAAAGATTTTAGCCTTCGTGTTAGAACGCTAGTAGATTTACACTGATACTGATTACTGTTACATGTACCTTGCTGAAGGGCTTCCATATAAGCTTGCTCTGCACTCTTTTTACTTCTCCTATTTAAGAACAGGTAGATGAATCACGTCATATTCAGATAGAGACGGTGCTTCCATATGACAAAATTCAGACCTGATCTCGAGGTAAAGTAAGAACACTTTTTTGCAAGACTCACCTTCTACGAGATACAAAGCAGACAATAATGACCACTATCAGAATAATAAGCAGCAGTGCTCCTGCTCCTCCAGCACTGTAAGCAATAAGCTGTAATTTCTTCGAGTTATCTGTAACCATTCAATCACAAAACCAATTAATCGCTCAATCATTAGGTAAAATGATCAGTGAAGCATTTACGAGAGAAATTTCACCAGGAAACATTTCTCGATAGAGTTACTTCATAATAGGTCGGTTTTCAGAACGTTAACTGTTTATTCGTTGATTTCCTCTCTGCCATTCATCTATCCTTAAAGTTCCTTCAATTCCATTCTTTATTTCTCTAGCCTAAGTAATTCCATTTACCCTTGAGTAGGTGTACTGTGATTCACTACAATATATATACACTAACTTGATTTAAGCACGAAGTCTGAAAGATGGACTGCAAGCAGGCTGAGCGCTACACTTCCAACGGCAACACCGCGAGAAACGAACGGGCGTCGCCGGCTAGTTACAAACGTAGCCTCGTTGAAACTTTTTGCCCCAGCGTAGGGTAAACAAATTTGAAAATGCGGTTTTTTTGGTTCATTAGATTTTGTTCTAAAGTAACAAAAGTACTTAAAAGAAGTTGACAAGAAGACATCAAGATCTAACTGGGTGTTCAATCATGTTCATGTGATAGGTGGATCTATTAAACAATTCCGGATTTACCAACCGTTTCTCAAAGTAAACGTCTTCGTACCAGCTGGTCCCCTTCCGTGGTCGTTTATAGCAAATACCTGAGAATAAAAAGCAAGAATTAATGTGAAAGCTTTCTCAAACGATTTTTCAGATATCATTTATGACATTTACGCGAAATAGCGAGTGACCTTTTCTGGTGAACTAGGACTAATCTAAACAGTCGATCGTATATGGCACTACTATGTTTGATGGTGCAATTTAGAATTCTTATGAATCAATCCACTATTGTCTGTTCCTTAATAAAGATCCCCGATAATACAAACAATTCTTGGCAAGATTCATCATTCGGTCAACTATACAGGTTTCGTACAAATAGTACAAACACTTTGTTCAATTCCTTCTTTCCCCTGGTTTCTATTCGCGACCAGTAAGAACGTTACCCTACCTTAAATTGGTAAGTCTTTCCTTCCTTCAAATCAAACTGCATTTCTGTTGTTTTCGTCTGACGACTCATGGTGTCTGATGTATCATTCGCATTAATGTACGTCACTTCGTACTCTTTAATAACTCCATTTTTTTTCTTCAGTGTCCAAGATACAACGACAGTTGTTTTCGGTTGTTTGATGGACACTTCCGGTATACCTGGAACTAGTTTGTAAAAAAGAGATGAGAACGAAATTTTAGTTCTCCAGTAAGGGGTTTCAAACTTCTGGATCAAAAACCCAAAGACACTTTTCCTTCAACTGCAGGTAACGCTAAAACTAAAATCGAGTAAATCAAATAATTCAAATTGAATACGGTTGGAAAATGAATATGTCTTAGAGCTGTGAAGAAAAGTTACACAAGTAGCATAGTATTAAAAACAGTATGAAGTTGTTGAAAGAACAATCTTTATTAAACAGTTAATAGTTTCACCACATTTTGCTGTGATGAAAACAATTCGTCACAATATCAAAACATTGATCCGTGAAGACTAATGTACATAGACACTTTGAACCGAGCATTCACGAAGTTTCAGTTAGAGTCGTCAAGCTTATTTTCTAGTGATATTTAGTTAATAACATACCTGATCCATTAGTCCTTACGGTAATTTTCTCAAAGAATCCTTCATTTCCATCTTTACTTTTAGCAGCCTCGCTCACTCTATTCCTGGCGTAGATTTTGAAAGTGTAGTTTATAAATGAAGAGAGGTTACCGACGATGAGTTGAGATGTGCTCAGTTTCTCCTTAGATGGTATGAAAATGACGTCACCTCCGCAAGCTTTATCCACACAATTTTTGTCGTCATCACTGTCACATGGCTTACGGCAGTCGACATCATACCACACCTGGGTCTGATCACCAGTTACATTAGGGGGCTGCCATTGTAACCCTAATGCACTTTGGTTGACGAAAGTCGTGATAGCATTTCTTGGGGCTGATGGTAAAACTAAAAAACACACACCCTTAGTTTGGGATGGTTTAGAAAACAAAAGAATGTGACCAAGGTCCCTTGAACAAATGTAACGATCTCTTTGTTAGGGAAATTAATTTGACTCCAACTGAAATAAAATGTGCCCATCAATGATTAGGACCGAGGTGCTTTTCTGTTAACACCTAGTCTCGTATTATATGTTCCGACCTCTATCATGGCAGACCGTGTAAGCCCGTTTGTTGTTTACGACAAGGCGTTTTGTTGAATGATCAGTATGCAACAAGTATTTATCCCTATTATAGTAACACTTCTCATTTTGGGTGATATTCGTGTTCTAGTGGCTCATACAGCGGACATGATATCAGTTTAAGACATACATTGTATGTGCAGGGGATAATTAACACATCGACAGTGTTTAGCGTGGTCTGTACTCTTATTGACAACGATATTCGTCATCACAGTGGTCAAAACTAATTTTTTTTACCCCAATATCGACGTCAATTCAATCAGTTCTTCCAGTGCGTGACCATTGCGTGACACGTTGACGCGAGTAGCGTTGCCTGTACTCTAATCGACAACAGCAAATTGGCCAATCAGATTGTGACATTACTGCCAAGAAAGCCAAGAAAGCCAAGAAAGCTTTCTGTATGATCAACGTGCAAACAATTTACCATCCGTAATGGTGATACTTTTGAATGATGTATTCTTATCCAGTTGCTGAAAAACGGGAAATGATGTTGCCTCAAAAATTTACGTGAAAAGGGAAAATATCTCTCGGAAACGCCAACTGAAGAATGTGCGCACGAGTATATCGAGGTATATCGGGTGTTTGAGGTACCGATAGTTACTGTGATGTGCTTAAGGTCAAATTTGTCCTCGGTCTGGTTTAATTGAATGAGTAACATTTAACTGTTAAATTGTAATTCTACATTATCAGAAAGCGATAGACCTTTTGTAACATTTGCTTTCATACCTGTGCAATTAAGGCCACTCTCATCATTGTATTTCCACAGGGTACAATCTAAAGAAACAAACACCAAATCGCTAACTAATGAATGAATAAATAAACTAATTGATTAAGGGAGGAATATGTTACAATTTCACTTCAAAATTGAACTAATTTGATAATCTTTGTCAGATCAAAGATCAGTCCTAGTGTTCAGTTATGAAAACTTCTAATTACATTTTTTTTTTGAGGACTTAACGTAATTCGGAGATTTTGGAGTATACAACAGTTTCTGATAAAGGAAGCTTGAAATACAGGCGAAGCTTGAAATACAAATCGTACAGGCGTAGATTGGCGGGGTCATTTTCATTCATAATAATCTTGACATTAACGTGGTCGTTTACTCCGGGAGAGAGTAAACGACCACAGAGAGAGGCTGAACTTGGGGCCCTTGGACTTACACTCGCGGTAAGACATTACCACTAACAAATGTGACAGTTTAAAACAGTTTATTACAGTAGTCATTCTATGTACACTCCTTCCTTCTCTTCATCTTTCCTGCTCCTGCGCGCGCGCGTTCGGAATGCGGTCGCGTAGCGACCGTGGCAATGTTTCCACGTTTTATTCATGTTTCGTCACATGTAAAGCAAGTCCATATCATATGAGCTAAATAAGCCTTTGGATTATGCTCCTTGTAATTCTTCCAATCGCTTTATCACATATAGATGTCTAGGTTTTGTGTTAAACGTGCTTGTATATAGGTACTTGCTATGTTACCTCTCTTTTACCGCTTTTATTTTGTGTTTAAACGGAGTATCCAGGAACAGTTTGATTGTATTTATCTTCTCTTCGACTTCTATGTAGGGATGAATTTCAGTGAGATACACCACTTGTCTGATTGGATGAAATCGAACTTTCTTCATCATCACTTTGGTCCCACGTATGATCATACCATTCCGACTCATAGCCACTCTTATACACCCATAGCTAGATTTCCACTGGTCTATCATTGATTGACACACGTCATAACTCGATAACAATTTGGACAGACAGGTCATTGACTTTGATCCGAAAAAAATGTAAGGATGCTATGACTTGATTAAAATTTGATGGACAGATAATCATGAGACAGTTACAACGCCTGCTGGCATTTCGTAATTTTCCCCGGTTTGTATGTTCTATGGTTCATTTTTCCCGAGAAATGGGAATGTTCATGAGCATGGTGCTTCGTTTTTGAATACCCTTTTCGTTCGATTTTTTTCCTGATAATTTTTTTAAACGGGAGATTTAATTATTTCTCTTCGAATCATTGTCATTGTTATTTTCCTCACTTGCGGAATTTTGTATAGAATTTAAAACACTTTCGTCACTGCTAGCGATCACACTCACGCGTTACAGTTTATTTTTAATTAAGATTTGAACTAAGCAAACATTTTTATTGAAAAAAAAGCTATCGCATGTTTTTACCTCAAACGGACCATTGTTCACTTTCAGAGAATTTTGAATACTCACGTGATCACCATCCGAACTATTTTCATTTTATTGGAGTAGGATGAATTATTCACATCTCATCATAGGGTTTAGGCGGAAACAAACCTCTTTTATTCTCGAATTTTTTTTACACGATACGAATGCTAATGACATCTTGAAATCACTTTTACCATTGGAAGTATGAGTCACCATCTTGCGTTTCATTGTTTCCATTGTTTGTCTCACTCTGGTGTTTGACTGTTAGGCTTTTTATTTTGATTTTGATATAGGAATAAGTGGGTTAGGGAATTGAGCTTAGGGTGAGAGTTGGGGGTGTGAGTGTCCGCAATAACTCAGGTTCAAATCCTGGTCACGACAATTTTTATTTCCTTTTATATTAAAATGAACGTTTTTTGAATATTCATTTTATCTCGAGATCATTTTCCCTAAGGGAGGATTAAACACCATCTTAGGTTTCATTATTTTTATTGTTTTTTCCTTGGATTCTCTAATAACCTTATCAAAATTATGAGGTTTCATATAAGCTCGAATATGACGCGTCATTCTCCTTAAAGAATCCTCACCCGCGTATGAAATAATATCTAAGATTCTTTCTATCTCCTAAACGGCTACTTTAGGATTGAAAGCAATATAATGTTGTCTTTCGACCATATTTGTCATCAAGGTATGACCAGTTCACGGCATTCAGTCCCCTTCGTCTGAAAATTCACGTGTCCGCAAGAAAAATGATATTTAGTCTGAAAGTTCTGCCTCTTCATCCCAATCGTGACTGTCAAATATGTGTTCCACGTAATTATAAATGGACTTCATGATTTCGTTCCTGTGTAATTGATATGTTTCATCATTTTTAAATTGTTCGTTTGGATATGTCTCCTTGGATTCTCTAATCACTTTATCGAAATTATGCGGTTTCATATAAGCTCGAGCATGCCGCATCATTCTCCTCAAAGAATCCTCATCCGCATGCGAAATAATATCCAAGATGCTTTCTATCTCCACAACGGCTACTTTTGGATTGTCCACAATGTAATGTTGTCTATCGACCCTATTCATGGCCATCCTTTGCTTCTGAAACTTCACGCGCGTATACTAGTTTTGTATATTCCAACACGGCTTTAAATATCTGGTTCCTCTTTTCAACTAGTTCGCCCGTTTCGTAGTCCGAACAAGGTCCTTCTGGATCTTGTAAGTAAAATTCTCCTCTCTTTACAATTCGCTCTAATGTGTCGGTGTCTCCAAATCTAGCAATGCTTTCCAATATTTCGTTCATGTAGCTGAGACCGAGATCGGGAGAAATCATCTTTCTCTCTTGAATTTTGAATGTAAGACAAAAATTATACGAAAACACTGCTCTTATTTGACACCGTCTACACCGCTTTCAACTTAGGTATGACCTCCTATTGGATTTGGCCATGCGTTGACTTCTCTGACCGTCTCGTCAAATAATTTATCAGATCTTTTTCTGGTTACAGCACAGAGTAGAATACTTCTGATGACGAGCCAGATCGCTGATTGACACCAATCAGCTCTATATTAAAAGATCTTCCTAGCACATTTGAGCGAAGAGATTGAACAGAACCCCCAGTGTGCCGGAGCCGTCCTTGACAAATTATTTGCCATTGTCAAATAAAAAGCTACCACGCAAGATCTTTGCAAAATACGCAGACAAGTGGCTAAATACATTGACGAGATTGAAACCTATGATTCCAATGTGGGAGAACATTTGTACGTATTTTCTTGTCCATGCGGAATTTATACCACATGTGTACGAAAACCTTTTGTGATTCTTATAAATACCTCTTTTGCGTATAATAATATTCGGTTAGGAAACTAACCCCAACCCTAATAACCCTAATGACCCTAACCCTAATAACCCTAATAACCCCAACCCTAATGACCCTAACCCTACGCTGCATGAATAAATTATCCACTCGGCCGAGTCACTAGGACCCAGACCCTGCGGTTTACTCCGGAAAGGCCCCCTAAACTACAAAAAGGAGATTTAAAGAAAGAATTGAATTCGATCCCACTTTTTCTGCTTGAAAGGCTATTTACAGTTCCCGGAAACGAGTTTTTTTGTTTGTTTAAGACCGTTCATTTTTCTTCTGTGTAGTATCACAGGCGACCCAAGCATACCGTGAGTAATTTTAGGTCTAAGGGTCATTCAAGGAAATACATATTAAATTAAGATTGAATTTTAAACGTAAGCGTGTGCTGTAAAAAAAAAGGAAAATTATAAAAAAAAAAAAGAAAAGAAAAAATAAAAGAGATAATAAAAGCTAGGAATGTAACATGTTAAGTCTCCTTGCCTTTGCATAGTAGCCACCTTGTCACTTGGGGTCGATTTAACGCTATTTTGTCGACTTTCTTTGTGCGGCGTGTTATGTTAAATATAGTAGCACGACACGCGGTACAGAGAAACTCACCAAAATTAAGATATGATATATGACTTAAGGCAAGTGCACCTTAAGGATTTGGATTAAATTAAAGCAACAACCAGAAGAGTCATGTTTCAAATGATTAATCAATTCTTTAGAAGAATAATGCTGATATGCTGGAACACTTAACCTGATCCAAATGGCACTGATTCAACATCGCTTTTTATGTTAGTCTTAGGGGCTGACCATTTAACTTTTGATGGGGGGGGGTAGGTGATTTTGAAAAAAAATTTCCTGCAAGCGCTTGTTGGAAGAAAAAAATTGCACGCAGCCCAAATGTAACAAAAAATGTACCAAAAAATCGGAAAAAAAATATCCTGCACAGCAGATTGCTAGGAAAAAAATTTCTTGATGACCAGAAATCACCCACCCTCCCCCCCCCCCC